GTAACGATCACGTGACCATCATGTGATTACAATGGACAGGGTGGGTAACGATCACGTGACCATCATGTGATTACAATGGACAGGGTGGGTAACGAAGCCTCTATCATCTCTAATAATAATTTAATAGTTTGTTTTCTTGTCCTATAATAGGAGGTTCGTAAGATCAAGCAGAGTCTTAGCGCACGTTTTGCAGATCTTGTGTACAACGGGTACTGGTATAGCCCTGAAGGTGACTTTGTCAGGTTCTGCATCGAGAAGAGCCAGGAGAATGTAGAGGGGATAGTCAAGATGGCTATTAGTAAAGGAAATGTAAGTCAATAACGATAATAGTGTAATAAGAAATGTTGGTCTACGCTACTGATGCGTTGACATCTTATTAATAGAGACTTTAAGATTTGCAAAATCTACGACTGCGACGTCAACCGGAAGTGTAAATAACTTCTCTTTGGGGTTCTGTTCATTGGAGATTTCATTCAAAACATTGTCAGTAAAGTCAACTCATCCACAGGGAATACAGACTTTGAAGGCGCGAAACCCCAAAGCGAAATTATTTACACTTCCGGTAGACGTTGCCGTTGCAGATTTTGCAAATCTCAAAGTCCCTAATGCTAGGTTTGTAGCAAGGGGACCCGCGTTCGGTTTCTCTCGCCAAAGCTGGTTTATGAGTCGAGTTTGTTTGATTCTTTCTCTCCTATTAGCAATTCCGAGGTTGAGAAATTAGAAAAGCTGGGTCAAGTTGGCATTGCAGTGCATTTTGGGGCTGTTTTAGGGGACGAAATAGCCGCCATCTTGGAAATATGTCCCACAATGCACTGCAATTCAAACTTGACCCAGGTTAATACTCATCCTTGGAATGGTTAATATTTGAGTCAAGTTTGTTTGATGTGTTTTATTCTCTTCTTTGCTTTACGCAAAGAGGGTTTCTCTCCGGTTTTCCTCACTAGCTCCGTAAAAATCAACATGTGAGTTGGGCGTTGTGTGCATAGAATATTGAATATAGTCGTAGTGTGTGTGAGCGAAAAGGTGTCCCCGACTAGACACTTAAATAAAGAGATTTATCATTTTATTTTATTTTATTTTACTTTATTTAATTTATATTATATAATTTCATTTCATTTTTTTTTTCTTTTGTTTTTTGTTTTATCTTATTTTAAAAAAACAATTAGAACCTATTTTAAATTTCAATTTATTCGTAAGGTGTACGTCAAAGCGCGCGAATCCAAGGCATCACTCTACAATGAAGAACTCGTCAGGTAGGCATGAAGTAAATATTTACGATATTAACAATAACAACAACAACAATGACAGCGTGACTTTTCGCGCGACAACAGAGCGTTTTCACGTGACGTCACAGCAGCCATGTTGGTGTACCAAAACAATTCACTTTCTATCCTCCAGGAATTGAACTCTATTTTTATGCAAAAAAATGTGCAGAAAGTTTCTATTGTTTGGTACACCAATATAGCTATCTTATCATGCGAGTGAAAACGCGCTATTGCACTGCCAAAATATCGCCTGCGTAAACGGGCCTTTAGAATGCAACCGTAACCCTTTTTGTGTTACACACTTCCTTTATCGCACAACAAAAATGCAATGCAAGTCGTATGGAGCATTTCCTAGTATAACTGACCCTTTATATCGGGTATGACGATAATTTCTCCATGTGAGTCGCTCGGCCCACGCAGAGCGGCTTTCCTCATGTGAATTCATTTCCATTTTTGTGTAGTATGGATGTGATCGGTGATTATAATCCTGCTGACGCAGCTGGTTTCATCAAGATTAACGCACTCAGGTAAATCGTACAAAATCAACTTTCTTCGCCTCTAAATGGACTACTTTGACTATGCAACCGCCATCTTGGATCGCTAGGCATTATGGGGCGTCCAGGGTGCAAACAAAGCAGTGTTATAGTAATGATATTGTAACAAAGAGAATACAACAAAAGATGAATTAAGACGGCTGCACATCGATTGCTTTTACCAATAAAAGAAAGACAAACACACGAAACTATCATCTTTGTTTTGTATTACCCCCCTGACAAGATGGCCGCCGTATCGTCGAAGTGGTCCATTCATATTCTCGTCTCTGCACTCCAACTCAACATTCCAGTCCTTCTATCTTTTTCTCCTTCACTCACTCTTGCTCGACTCCACGCTTTGAACTCCACTGATTTCAAGTATAGGAAGAGATAACTAGCTAAAAACTAGTGTGAGCTGCGTCGGTGTTTCTAATGAAACAGTAATGATAAAAGGGTAAATTTTACACCGTGAAAAGATGAAAAAACTTACTGACGTTTAGGTTGACACTAGTCCTTCGTCGGAGTAAAAGGGAAAGAGGTGGTAGAAAGGAGTGTTTATATACTGAGAACAAGACAAAAGAAACCAATAGAAAAATGATTTCAAGGATTCTCACACCATTCCAATCTCTCTCCCTTCTTCACTTCCAACAAACTCAATATTCTAACTCAATTTATTTTCTCGATTCTACACTTCCAGCTCCACATTCTAAACTTTCCCTTGACTCCACACTCTCAATTCCACTACCTGAACAGTCCATATTCCAGATTTTCATTCTCGTTCTCACATAAATATTTAATAGATTGTGGATGTCTGTTTTCATATTCTTTTATGTCAGGCTACGAGAACACGCTCGTTTGAGGAAAGCACTGGAAAAACAATGAATATCAAGGACCGTAGTAAGCAAACACAAACACAGGACAAGATAAGTTGTATCTATCATGATCTCCTATGAATTAAAATGAAAGAAAAGAAAACTTTTATTTATTTTTAGTACATAGGGCACTGACTCTTCCCCGCAAATGGGGCTTTCACAACTTCAAGTCGCGTAAAAAATGAAGTTGACTTGAAGTTGTGAAAGGCCCATTGGTCCTCTTCTTCATCAGTCGTTTCATACAAGGCTCGTAATCTACCCATTACGCGTGTTCTTATATGATTCCGAGCCCATCCCACACGGCTTACCGACTCATCCTTATATGTAAATATAGCTAAAGGAAGTGTGAAAGTTCAATGAATAACAATGAAATAGGATAAGATGACAATAAAAGCGCATAACCATATTTTATTCTAATTCATTGTTATTCATTGAACTTTCACACTTCCTTTAGCTATATTTACATAGAGTAGAGTTTACAGTTTTCATTAGACCTGATGATGTTGTCGAGATGACAGCGAAACGTTGTCTTTTACAACTAGTTTTCTTTTAAATTGTATACCTAAAAGTACCTTTATCAAGTTTTTAACTCAAAACAGTCAAAAAAATACCAGTTCCTGAAAATTACTTTGAATTCTTTTCATATTTCTCTAATTTTTAAAGTGGTTTTCATTAACCCGTCAAACAAAGTGCAATAATTAGAGCGTGGTAGTCACAAAGAGACAATAAAATAATACTTCCCCGGGGGGGGGGGGTACTCCCCTATATTTGCTATACGGGTATGTGCCGCCCTATAGGGTATGGTTTTTCGGCTTTTGGGTCTGGGGTAGGGTATCATTTTTTGACATTTTGTCTGGGATAGGGTGTCCTTTTTGTCTGGGATAGGGTTACGATTTGGTCGTTTTACTCTGGGATAGGGTTAACGATTTGGTCGTTTTTGTCTGGCGAATAGACTACGCTTTCTGACGGCACAAAAACAATAAAAACGTTAGCAAATATTGATCGCAATCTATTGACTAACCGGGTTTAGTCTGGGATAGGGTGTACAATTCTTAGTTTTAGTCTGGGGTAGGGTATGTAAAATCAAAATTTTAGGTCTGGGATAGGGTCAGGATTTTGAGGTCCTGGCGGCACACCCCTACCCAAGTTGGGGAGGTAGTACCCCCCCCGGAATACTTCCACGGATTACGGAAAAACCATATCATACATGAAACACTCAAGCTTCGTATGATTCATGACTTCTATCGTTGTATGCTTGCGGGTTATTCTATAATTGGTCCAAAGGCTTTTTTTTGCTCAGTTTATTTTGCTAGCAGTTTTTCTAACTTTATCTGCTTTTCTCATTTCTACCGCGATGCTTCTTGTTTTTGAGAATTTTTCTAACTTCTAACATAGTAAGTAGAGGGGAATGGAATAGGGAAACTCTATTGTTATAGGTTATTGTTCACTTTTTTCAAGCGTGACCGTGCACAATCCTTTGTTTTACCATTGTTTTACCGTTGTTGGCAATGGCTGAGTGAACAGACCAAAATCTTTCTTTTGGCAGCTAGTTCAAAATACTTAAAGATTTATGAGAGATATTTGAATGTTCCTTACAACAATCCCATAGAAAAAGTTTATGTTTACTTATTTTGCAATTTCGGATGAGCATAAATCAAACATATTGCACGGTCAAGACCGGTTTAACCTCACAAGCGAACAAAGACCTGATAACAATAGGTGTCCTAATTTAGACATCCCCTTCTATTGACTATGCTTCTAATAAGCCCCAATTCCAAAAACACCTCGAAAAAGAATAAGCTCCCAGGGCGTTTAATGAAGAAAATACGGTATATTTGCTGTGAAATGTGATCGTCCGGGTGAGTGTAGCCTTGAGAAAGACTGTTGTTGGTGGTGACTGACGTTTCGACAACCTGAGCGGAAGTCATCTTCAGAGTCCAGTGAGAAAACGTTTTTTACATCGTATTTTGGGTTTACATTACGGTTTTTGTTTTTCAGGGTATTGTTTAATTGCAGGGTATTGTTTAGCTTCAAATTCATTATCCTTGGTCATGATTGCTTTATTGTCTTCATACTTCAATTGCCTAGCAACGCCAAGAAAGAGTATACTGCGAGGATCAGCTCAATTTGATAAAGAGTCGATTCGATTGGCTCATGTGAAAACTAATTAACCTTTGTATTCGGCTTTAATCCATAGAGTTTAGACCAAAGGGCGGCTTCATGTTTGATCATACAATACTAACTCCTCTATAGTCTTGATTTCTACATTTCATAATACTTTGTCATAACCGAAGGCGATAGGCTATTGCTTGCTATCAATCACGTGACTTTTTGGAGTTGACTGGGGGGCAAACAAGCGGTTGACTGGGGGGCAACTAGCGGATGCTAAGTCAAAACATATCAAAATAAGTCCTCAAACTATTGTATTTGACTATTTTCACTACATCAAACCAGNCAAAAAAGAGCTATTACCGGAAGTGACGTCTATTGATAGCAACCTATAGACCATATGAAGAACGTCGCGGTTAAAAAACCATACATATGGATAAAATGACAATAGATTGGTCTTCCAAGCCATTAAACTAAAGCTAACCTACAAAGGAGGTGCTTTTAATACTATGGGCCATCAAAAAGCAGGTTCCAAATGGTGCGATTTTTTTTTCGACAAGACAAAATGCTTTAATCTTCCATTGTCCTACCATTCATTAGGGAAAATGCTAGTGCTTATGAAGTCAGATCACATACAGGTTTTTGCTCACTCTTTTTCCCAACAACAGCGTTATACTAACGGCCACATATATCAATCACTCCGGGTACGTATACGTTTTGCTGTGCCCATACACCACAAGATCAATACACATCTAAGTCTTCACCAACCTTCAATTGAATTTTCTAGTTGTTACTTTTTGCGATTCCAATACAGGTAAGCTTAAGGCGCGAAACACGTTGCAACATTGTGCGCATAATTGCAGGCAATATTCAAAAAAAAGTCTAATTCTAGTTCAGCAAAACTACATGCAACAAATTGCGTCCGTCTTCCGTTGGTTTCTTTGTTCGTTCGTTCCTTCTTTTCTTCGTTCCTGGCCTTTGGCGGAATGCACCAAAGTTATATAGAAATATCTTTTTAGAATACTTATTTTTGATAGTTTTACATTGTAAATATTTTGACCAATTTTTGAAATTCATCTTGGGATTTTTTTATCTCTTATAATACTCATGGGCTATCGGATTGTGTCATAGTCTATTAACTATGATTGTGTGAAGCTCCTTATAGGTCGTTTTAGGAGTTGTGCGCCAATCAATAAAGAATTTATAAACATCTCGTCCACCACACCTGCCCACTCGTTGATTTGTAACATAGGTAGGCGGTAAAAAGCAAAGGCTTGAGCAAAGGCTTGAGCGAAAATCGAAACCAGAAATTAAAGAAATTTTAAGGCCCGATAATTTTACCGTTATTTATTTATAAATTAGGGCACATCATATCTGCTGACGTCGTGAACATCACGTGGGTTTCAACCGCTCTGATGATGGTCCTATCGTTACAAACCATCGACCCATCACATGCCAGATATTTGGAAAAGCACGCTTCTAAGGCTGAAATAAAGTACGCTGTCTTCTGTGACGCGGGCTCGAGTGGGATTCGAATCAAAGTGTACGAGCTCATCGTTGGTGTTCATGCCCCGATTAAAGTCTCTGACGTCAAAGAACTCGACGTCCCTAAACCAAACAAGGCTAAACCTGGCCTCAGTGCGTTTGCAGACTCTGTCAGTGATATCGGTAGCTATCTTGATGATTTGATTGACAGTGCTAAAAAAGTGGTACCCGCTGACCGGCAGGCATCGACTCCAATCTATCTGTACGCAACCGCTGGCATGCGGTTACTGGAAGATGACGAGGTAAATATACAGCTATACCAGATATTTCAAAGGAAAAAAAAGGTTTAAAACGGGGAAAAGCGAATGACGATTGGCGATTGCAAGGCAGAAATGGGTAGAAACTAATAGCAATAGATACTAAAAAATTGCGTCCTAGAAACAGAGCTCGGGCTATATTTAGATCTTATTAACGGAGCGGGAGGTCTGTACGTCTGTAAGATTAATATGCGATCGGTCCGGTTAATACCGGAGAATCTAGACCAGTCCGCGATGCGATCTATTCAATCAGATTGCTCGATTTGCTAGTGTCCAGGCTCTAAGATTCACGGTCATATAATAAATCTTACTCTTAACGACGGCACATTTCTTTCATCACCCAGAAAAACGCGGTCATCAATGAAGTGAACCAACTCCTCTCAGATGAGAGTTTTTCTCCATTCCACTTCGAGAAAGACTTCGTAAAGATAATAAGCGGACAAGAGGAGGCCTTGTATGGATGGATTACAGTAAACTTCCTCAAGGGAATCTTCTCACAGAAGACGTCAGGCGGTTCGTGCGGCGCGCTGGATTTGGGAGGAGCGTCAACACAGAACACGTTTAGGGTGAGAATTCTAGATCATTTAGGGATAGCCTCATTTCAGCATCAAACTTCAAGAAGAGCCACGCAAAGTAGAGAATGCAGAACTTAGTTAATGCAACTCTTTAAAATTGGCCACTTTAGAAACGAGCAAGAGACCTGAGAGAGCGGTTTTGAATTTTAATCTTATTAGAAAAGACTTTTGTCATTTTGAGAAAGCATCTCAAGATTAGTTAGTCTGACAAATTTGAACATGATTGAATGAAACGAGCTAGAATTATTGTCTTTCAAAAGTGTTGAAAAGTTACAAAGAATGTATGTAAGACTACATTGTAAATTTTTTCCAGACTTTTGAAGGCTTGTAACTCTGTTTCTTTTTATCCAATTTTTTCCAATTTCCACAGACTTACAAATATTGGGGTGCTTTATCAGTTGACGAAAGGTTTTTGCTAATGAGATTAAAATTCAAAACCCCAGTCTTTTGAATTGCTCGTTTCTAAAGTGGCAAATTCCATAGACAATGAACGAATGAAAGAAACGAGCGACAGAATTTTACCCATGGGTTCCCGAGAATGCTGGAACACCTAAAAATCTATATTAGTTTTAGTCAAAACAGTGAAACTACTATATTGCGCATGCGCTACTATCTAACCAATTAGAGCGAGAGTCATATATTATCAAATTGAGCTGATATATGAAGCAACTTATGCAGCTGCAAATTGAAAGACTCTGAAAAAATTCTGAGTCTTGATTGGGATTTGAATCTTTGAAGTCTCATATGAGACTTGATAGCTCAGTGGTTAGAGCATGGCACGCCAGGGCACGGGTTCGTATCCCGTTCGAGACTCTTTTTCTGAGTCTTTCCATTTGCAGCTGCATAAGTTGCTCCATATACTGCAAGGATCAGCTCAATTTGATACATTACGACCGCAGTACAAATATATATTTCATATATCTATATTGTCATACGCAGTTATATATTATTCGTGTTATGAAACGTTTTTGCGCATATTGTTTCTTTACAGACAAGAAAAGACAGCGCACTTGTGACGTTTGAGCCAACCTTAGCCGGAAAAACTTATCCCGTGTTTGCGCACAGCTACTTGTCCTACGGAGTCAACGAAGCCAGACAATCATACTACGAATATCTGGTGACGAAGCAAGGGTCTGACTGTAAGAAGATCATCAGCCACTGTCACAACGATGGGTACGAAGAAGAAGTCAAGATAAATGACAAAGATTATCTCTTGATAGGAAAATATAACGGGGTTCTTTGTAAAAAAGCGATAAGAAATAAGATTTTCTGTAACGATCCAGACATTGAAGAATGCCCTTTTATCGTGCAGCCAAAGTTGATGGGAATTTTCTACGGATTTAGCGCCATTTATTATGCGTTAAACGATGTGGAAATGCTAAAGACGGATGACGATATTGTCACTGTACCGCAAATTAAGAATTCCACCGATACATTCTGTGCTAAACCCCTGGAAGACGTAGATACGAGCGTGTATGGCCCGGATATCATGTATGGCGTTTGTTTCCAACTCAATTATATTTACGAGCTTTTGAAGGATGGGTATAATGTACATGAGGAATTTTTCACTTTACATGTGGCAAAAGATTTAAATGGTTTTGAACTGAGTTGGGTCTTAGGAGCTATGCTCGAAGCAACCAAAGTCCTTTAAAATTATTTAGTGTGCTATTCAGCCTTTCAACCTCGTTTCCAGGGTCCACTCTCCTCTTCCTCGGAGAGTGCGCCCTGGGAACGAAGATTTATTTTCCTGGGACTCGGAAACTTCCATGGCCAGACTCGGTACGTTTTCTTGCGTTTTCGCTTTAGTTCTTCATATTTACAACGGTTAAGAGGTTGTGGGGTTGGAGGGACATGAGGCCCTATGACGCATAGTTGGTTAAAATGTAGTGACTGATCTAAGTTGTAATGTATAGCAATTACTCTTTACTTAAGTTTTGGATGGTTAAAATTGAAATAAAGATAAATCATGAATGAAATGAAATAAACAAATGAAATCTCACTTGTCGCAAGTCAGTTTTAGATAGTCATTTATACATATATTCTCGTAGCACATGCATTATGCAGCGGTGGTTTTATATATTTATATACGATAGATGATAGGTATCAAGAGAATATGTAGGTATTCATCTTGCAGCCGGCATAGCTGGTATGTTTATCTAACGCCATTGCCGAAAATTGAGTCAATCAGAACGACGGTAATCTCCACTAGCCGTTATATGTAAATAGTCGTTATTTTAAAGAGGGTGAGGTGGTATAAAGAGCTTCTTTGTTTGCCCCGAAGAGATTCTCGACCCAAGGAAAAATTTCTCTTAAATAAAACTAACTATTAAACAAGGAGCTACTCGGTCCAATGATTTGAGAAAGAAAAGAGATTCCAATAATTTTGTCGAAGTCAATAATACTTGCCAGTTAAAGGATTTCGAAACGTCGTACAAAACAGACTTGTGTTATAATCCATCTTGAGTCAATAATGTCTTTTATTGCTGATGAAACCATAGGTTCCATGTTTGCATTGCCATATTCACCAGCTGTCGCAACTCAAAAACCAAACTTGAAAAATCTCGTTGAAGTATACCAAGAGAATATTCTCTTCAGTATACTTAATCTGAAATATCTTATCAGTTTTTTCTTCGAACACCGAAGAAAAAGAAAAAAAGACCAGCTTGACATCCAAATGTTTACGGTGTTGCTCAAAGATTATGCTTGTTCAATTGTTTCACGATTGTGGCACTTTGAAAGGACCGCGACGTTTCGACTACTACTGCTGGAAGGTGGTCATCTTATATACCGTCAGTCTGGTTCCCTTGTTTACAGTGTTGGTGCTAGCTTGAACCGCTTTCTGTTGGACCAGATTCTTCGAAGTGCATTAATCAAACTGTTATACTGTTTATGTTATCTTCTTTATTTTTGAACGACCAACTCTTTCCCCTCAGTGCCATTTCTTGATTTTAGTATTACAAGGCAGTAAAAATGGATCGGAACTATACGAAAAACGCCGACTCCACGGCTTATTGCGAAAATACAGCTCTGGAATCCCAGTCTACCATAGCAATTTTGGCTGCAGTCGCTGCTCTACTCATCCTTCTCTCAGTGCTTGGAAATGGCCTTGTAATATTCTCTGTCTACAGAACCGAAAGTTTACAGACTCCGACAGTATTCTTCTTGACTTCTTTAGCCATGGTGGATTTTTTAACTGGGTTATTTGTCATCCCTACTTGGTCCATACGCCTAATTTTGGATTTTCGAAAGCCTTCTCATCCCTTTTCTATTTTTACAGAATCGTTAACTTTATTGACAATGGCTGCATCAAAGTTCAACCTTTGTGCTGTAACTTTGGATCGTTATTTTGCTATAATTCACACAATGAAGTATAACCTCATAGTTACAAGAAACCGAACTTTTGAAGTTATCATCGCAGTTTGGGTATTATCCTTTTTTACCGGTATATTCCGTCCATTCTTTAACGACCAAAAAAGACTTGTGTATATTTGTTCCATTGCTGTTATTGCCGTTATCCCCTTCACTATCATAACAATTTCCTATACTAGAATTTTCCTCGTTGCGAGAGTCCAAGCTAGACGAGTTGCTGCAGAAAATAGAGGTGTTTCTCCCGTATCTAATAGAAACACAAAAGCGGCCAAAACTGTAGCATTAGTTATTCTTATATTATAGTTTTTGGTGGACTCGAGTTTCGCCATGTTTCTTTATTCAGTGTTTGTAACAATTTGAGGTCTCGATTTCGTTTTGCAGCTGTTGCTGTTGTTCTTGCTTTTACGAGCAGCGTTTGGAATCCATCAATCTATACTCTGAGATATAAAACGTTTCGACAGTCTTTCAAAAAAATAATATGCAAAACGAGGGTTTGAAGATCTTATCGAACAGGAAAAAGAGCAGCTAGTCTAAAAGTCTAAAATGAAAAAATCTAAATATATTGACGATTGTACATAAGTGTTTCTGTTAACTTTAATACATCAGCAAAAAAAAAGTTCTGAATCATTGAAATTTTAGTTCAGGAGTTAATTTTTTAAATTTATTTCAACTTGTATTTTTCCTTGATTCTTTAAAAATAACGACATGGAGGCAAAAAAGTATTCAGAACTTGCCAAAATATACACTTCCAAATAAAGGGATTTCAAAAGAAAAGGACAATAATGTCCATACGAATTTATTGATTTAAGTTTCCATGATTTTTCCAAAAAAAAGAAGAAGCTGAGACCGAAATGGCACATGGGAAGTATGTTAATTAGATGCATGCTGTGACCGGCGACCCGTGACGTCATCCACTGTTATCAGTACGCGTTTGGCATTCTAAACCGACTGCATAGATGGCGCATTTCGGTCTCAGCTTTTATGTTCTATGTTTCTCAACCCGACAACGATTCTTCAATTGAGTGTATATATACACCTACTTGCAAGAACGTTGTCATACGAAAATAGAACATTAGGGATTTAGTGGGATAGGAATTATATTAAAAAACAAAAGAAGATCACTGAAGCTGAACTTTTTCTTTTGTCTTTTAATGTATTCCTTTCTCACTAAATTACTAATGTTCTATTCTTGTATGACAACCTTCTTGCAAGTAGGTGTATAGAGAGAGATAAAATGACTAAGATGAAAATCAAGCTCTGTACAAAAAAAATCATAAGACCGAAACTAAGGAAGAAACGGGTAATTTTTTTCCCGGACACGTAACTTACACTATGTTTATAAAATACTGATGAAAGTTGTTTTAATAAACTATTGTAGACAATGGAAATACATTTTTGTTCATGTTCTACGGTGTACAAGTCATCGTAAAAATTGAGCACAAAACGAACGGAACGATCTTTTACATCATTCTGATAAACAGAACTGTCTTAAACTTTGAAAAAATAATGGAATATTACCTGATAGAGGGGTCCGAAACCGTCCATTGAGGCTTGGACAATAATCCAATAAAACGGAACACAAAAGTAATGCCGCAGTGCAAGGAACAAAACGCTCGTTCTTTTTTTAAAAACGCTTGACACAGATTGATAAAACGCATGATAAGTTTTATTTTAAACACTTTTTCTACCAGTGACAGTGGGCTCCCTGTAAAAGATTGTCGCAAGCTCGATTCACAAAGTCCATATTGAATTTGAAATGCAAAATGAGGATGGTGTTCTTTCTCAGCCATGCCGCCAAGGATCAGAACGCCCTTCCACCTAGTCTGCGTAGCCAAGGCGCTTTTTGAACTTCGGCTAATTTGCACTTCTATAGGAAAGGACAAAGCATGCCGTATTCAAAGAAGATTATCTCCAAATAAATTTAGTCAAAATATATAATTTAATACTTCAACTAACAGTTCTAAGGCACAAAAATAATCGTTCAAAGTTTGGTTACGAAATACCTTTTGGTTTTTCTTGGAACGAATTTTGGAATTCACTAATTTCACGCTCTCGCGTCCCGTTTTTTTAAAATTTAATTTAATTTAATTTAATTTTTGCGGCTTTAGAGCACGTGGAATGCACGTTTTAATTTTTACCACTGTTGCCCTGCACTCGAGAACAAAATATAATGAAAATTAATAGCGCGCAGCACACTGATTCTAAAATTAGCTTAAAGATTCGGACAAACATTGCATTCTGTTTAACCGCCACGAGGATTATACGAACCGATTTTATTATTTTTACTTAAAGTTACAATAATAACCCATGTAAACTAAGATCAACTGCGATCGGCTGTGAAAATTATCTGCTGAAAGTAAACTTGTAAGTTTGTTTGTCCGAATTTCGCCTTTGTCTTCGTTTTTATGACGTCAAGGTTGCGCTGCGCTATTGAAATTAAGCTTTTTTTTAAATATAACAGTCGTACCACGACTGTCTGACTTTCCTTGATAACAGACCTGATTCCGTGAACCAAAAACCAAGAGACAATACAAAACCGTGGTATCATATTGATAGATACTCGTGATATTTTGAAAGTTCTCTAATTTGGACTCGCCTAAGTTCTCGTCCAATTTTGAAAACTTTCAGACTGCATCACTACGCGCACCTATCAATTCCGAATTGTACTCGAGATCGATCGTGCGACTCGTGTTATTATCTTACTGTAGTCCATATGATTTAGACCAGACGCGGCCGTAATAATGATAAAATTGACGTCGTCTGTCATATCTACATCATACAATACACCACACCTAGAACATGTGCTATTTAAAATAAAAATTGAAAAATATTTAAATGTTACACGTTGACTAGTACTTTTTATTTCACGGGTTAGATACCTTCGCTCTACACCAGTTTTTCATTATTCTACTATCCAATAAGGATAAGGCTGTCGACAAGGCTAGTGCTTATAAAGTCAGACCACAGACAGGCAGCTTGGTAAGTGTTCTTCCCATCACTGCATCGTCATACTAAGGGCCACGTAAGGATCAAGGGACATCGAATTCAATCGAATTTCAGTTGGTTTAGAGGTACCAGTACAGGTAAGCGTATGGTTCAGTAAATTGTTCCAATATCTTTTTTTGGATTTGTTTCCCCTTATCAAATTTAAAGGAAAAACTGCTTGAATTTTCAAAGTTAAGCGACGCTTGTCAGAATAAAACAGTTTGCAGGCTGAAGCTCTTGATAAGGAGTCGCAAGAATTATTTACTGTTACACGGTTAGCTCAGTTGGTAAGAGCGTCGGCCGGTCTGTTGTAAGGGAGGTCATGGTTCGATTCCCGATGCCGGAATAACACTGAGAGGCTTAATATAACCTCTCTGCCTTTGTGATTACTTCTACAAATAGTTAGACTTTAGAAATAGTTTGGCTCGAATCAACACTTTAAAGTGCTTATAAGCCTTTACACAATATTTTCAGAATTGATTCTTTAGATAGTGGATAGTTGATTGTGAAAATATTACGTCATTTGAATGTCGGGTCTTTGAGATACGAAGGTTTATATTCCCAATATGTTAATGACTATGACGTAACATAAGGGATCATTTAATATACAGCACTGCACTCGTTCTGGAATACAGTATTTTAAAAGCATCCCCCTTTTATTCGTGACTCACGTAAAGGTTCTCACAAATTTATTTTCAAAAAATGTCCAGCGTTCAATATTAAAAATTGCCACAAAATAACTAAAATTCCTTATGTTACGTCATAGTCATTAACATATTGGAAATATAAACCTTCGTATCTCAAAGACCCGACATTCAAATAACGAATTATTTTCACAATCAACTATTCACTATCTAAAGAATCAATTCTGAAAATATTGTGTAAAGGCTTATAAGCACTTTAAGAAACGAGTTGTTGCATGCTGGCAAGTTTGCTGCATGTTCAACGAGTGCCTGCAAATAAGAAACGAGTTCCTGCATGTGAAATGAGAAATCACTTGCTGCATGTTAGGTGAGTTTCTCTTTTAAAAAGGAGTTGCTGCATGCTAGACGCGAGCTGCTTCAATTAAAAGACGAGATGCTGCGTGCTAGACGAGTTGCTGTAAATAAAAAACGAGTTGCTGCATGCTAGACGAGTTGCTGTAAATAAGAAACGAGTTGCTGCATGCTAGACGAGTTACTGTAAATAAGAAACGCGTTACTGCATGTTACACGAGTTGGTGTAAATGAGAAATGTCCTTCGTTGCCACCGTAAAAACCAAAGACTTCAGCAGAAACTGAATAGACCCAGCGCCCGATTGTACGAGGCCTGGATAGCGCTATCCGACGGATAAATCTTATCTAGTGGATAAATTTATTGGATAACAGCATCGACTTATCCATTGGATAAGGATTTATCCGCCGGATAGCGCTATCCAGGCTTCGTACAACCGGGCCCAGAATATTAAAAAAAAATTCAAAACCCGATATTTTTACTGATTTTCATTTGTAGTAATAAATTGACGACAGTTTTATTTTAAAGGTTGTCACAGGCCACGTCATCGATCTCTGCTGACATCATGAATATCACGTGGGTTTCTACCGTTCTCATGATGGTCCTATTGTTTCAAACTTTCGACCAATCACATGCCAGATATATGAAAAGGTCTACTTTTAAGGCTGTAGAGAAGTACGCTGTCTTCTGTGACGCGGGCTCAAGTGGGACTCGAATCAAGGTGTACAAGCTAGTCGTTGGTGTTCATGACCCGATTGAAGTCTCTGATGTCAAAGAACTCGACGTCCCTAAACCTAACAAGGCTAAACCTGGCCTCAGTGCGTTTGCAGACTCCGTCAGTGATATCGGTAGCTATCTTGATGATTTGATTGACAGTGCTAAAAACGTGGTACCCGCTGACCGCCAGTCATCGACTCCAATCTATCTGTACGCAACCGCTGGCATGAGGTTACTGGAAGATGACGAGGTATTTTTAAATATATGCTAAATAATTACAATATTTTTAAAATGCCTTACTTATAGTTAAATATATTTTGTGGTCATAACTAGATCCCTAACTAGAGACGTTCAGTGATTTGCCTTAAAAACATGGACTATAGCTTGTAGGGTGGACAAACTATATTATGTATTATATAATACTCGGGGAGAAAACGATTTTTTCATACTAAAACACTCTTGAATGTTTGGAAAACGCACTAAAATGTACGCATACAGCGACATGGATTAAATACCACACACGGTTTTCAATTTTCGACGATTTCTCAGTAAAACGAATCCTAATCGATTTAAAGTATCCCATTTTTGTAGAGAAACTCTAAGTGCATGGTTCTCCGCTGTTAATTGACATCAATTTGACGTGTTTGTCTTCTTTCGCGCAAAAAATACGAACAACTCTCTTTTGTTTGAGTTTGCGTACCAACATGGCGACGTATCATTGTTAGAAACATGTCAAGGGATTTTGAGTCACGTGGTTGAAATTCAATAATCATAATTAGTAAAAGGACAATTAATGAATATGTATTTGATTCTAGCTTCGAATTCTAGTGCAGTTTTCGTATCACTGTGAAAAGTTCACGGCACGAACACGGTCGTGACACAGCAAGGGATACGCCAGACCAATCACATTGCACGAGAATTTACTCTCCATCCAATCAATCACGGTCACGCCAAGGTCAAGGCAATGCAAGACCAATCATATTTGCGTGAAAAAAATCAGCCATTGAAAATTCTAGAAAGCATCACGGTCACGGCACGTCACGCTTACGGCACTGAACTTTTCACAGTCATACGAAAACTGCTCTATACACACGCACTCTCACGCACACACACACAAGGTTTTCAAGCCATCATATCTTGTCGCAGGGTTTTAACGGTTTTAGCACCATTTTCTACAGAGCTTATTGCCTATACTGAAGGGCGATAGGGTTTGTACAGAGCTTGGGATACCTTTGTATTAATGATAGCGCATTCCTTTCATTACCCAGAAAAACGCGGTCATCAATGAAGTGAACAAGCTCCTCTCAGATAAAACCTTTTCTCCATTCCACTTCGAGAAGGAGTTCGTAAAGATAATAAGCGGACAAGAGGAGGCTTTATATGGATGGATTACTGTAAACTTCCTCAAGGGAATCTTCTCGCAGAAGACGTCAGGCGGGTCGTACGGCGCGCTTGATTTGGGAGGAGCGTCAACCCAAAATACATTTAGGGTAAGACTGAACTTATACTCGAATTTTACACGCACAGAAACTCTAGCGCGCTAAATTCAAATAGACCTATCTGTTTCTGTATTTGTACCAAACCAATGTGTGCAGTTTTTAATTATATAGTGAGCAATTCATTCAGCATTAGCCTATGTCACGGTCGAGGGACAAATCCCGGGGTTGTAAAAGGGCTGACCAATCACCCCCCTTTTGCTCAAATTTCTCAGTATATCGTCAGTAACAGTCACCCCCTTTCTTTTCCTCGAATTCCTGGTAAAACATTGGTAATCGTCACCTCCTTCTAAAATTCCTGGACCGTTCCTGATGCCAAATAAAAGAATATACAATTTCAACAATGTAAACACTTTGTAATTCCACGGACTTCACTGGAACACATGAATATTTAAGCAAAATCGCTGGTTGTTGTCTGAGCAACATTAAAAAAAAAAAACTTTTTTGCGCATTTTGTTTCTTTACAGACAAAAAAAGACAGCGCACTTGTGACGTTTGAGCCAACCTTAGCCGGAAAAACCTATGCTGTGTTTGCGCACAGCTACTTGTCCTACGGAGTTGACCAAGCCAGACAATCATACTACGAATATCTGGTGACGAAGCAAGGCTCTGACTGAGCAGCAGTAAGGGGGACTCGCGACCGCCTCCGCGAAAGCCCCGAATAACACGGGTATTACAGGCGTTAAAACGAACGGAATGCCGACGGCGGCCTTGGCGAATGCCTCCTTACTGCTGCTCTTTTAGGTAACTCAAACGATGGTTAAGATCTGCCTGTTATATATGGATGCAATTAAGAGCATTAAGAACAAGACTGTGCGTAAGCTCAGGACTCAGGTGTTGAATAATCTCGATGCCGACTTTGCCTTTACAACATTCATGGAAGGTGATACAGATGAAACGATGACCGATGAAAGAGCAGCAAGAATAATCGACTTAATACCTGACGGAAATTACCGTTTGGAGTTAACTTTCATAAAATACATGGATGGCGAGTGGATCATTGAAAAGGGACGTAATCCTATTAGAGCGTCCGGAAAGAAGAACCTATTCGTTTTGAACCAAGATACGCACCCAGGAGCATTGGTAGGAATTGATATGATGTTCTACGAAGTGGCTTACCCTGTTACCGTAGTCATTTACGGGGCGTATGAATTGAAAACGCCCGACACAAAGAAGTTGAAACCAATGAGACATCCTGGTAATTGCGTAGGTAAGTTWGTAAGGGAGTTCTTTGAAGATTCCTCCCGTGGTGGTAAGCTCACCTTAAAGAGGCGAGAAGCCATTAGGAAATGGGAGAACGCCACTTATAAGGCAGGARCTACTATTGCCAACATTAAAAAGTTGGAAACAGCGTTGGAACGACGCATCCACGTAAAGGATATCACAGACGGGTTCATTTACTCCGGAACTCATAAGTACGGAGGTCGTGGTGCTCCCATAGTCATTTACCAACACAATGCACACGCCTGGCGGGAACTAAGGTTTCCCAAGAAGAAGGAAATCAAGGTCTACGAGACGTCTCCGTTAGCAGATCTGATTCATGAGAATTCTATCTGGTTAATGGATGCAAACGGATCCCAGTTTATGACACAAGATGGTACTTTATACAGGCCCGAGATAGAACAACAACGCATACAGAGTGCTTGTGAGTCTTTGGGAGAGGATTTCTCCGAGGAAGTACTTAGTTCCCGTAGCCTAGATTTCTTAGCAGCCAAAAAGAGGAATGGTTGGAAATCTACTCCAGTGGAGTTTCAGGACATAGCCAAAGCCTGCGTAGAACACGGTCACGGTGGTTTATGGAACATGGAATACGACGAAGGTCAGTACGTCTCCTTGGATATGAAACATTGTTACCCTGCTTCTTTTAAAGGGCTAGGAGATTGTAAAGAGTACTATGRCCGTTACGGACATCCCGACTCGCAATTCTTCCGTGTTGCTTTGCCGGGTCATTACGACGCTCCAGCAACTGGGTTCGTACGCCTAACCAGCTGGAAGCTTGCCAAAGGATTACATCCCATCATTTACGCCTGGTACGGAAAACACCTCCAAGAAAAGGAATGGATTCCTGTGCCGCTTTTGAAGTTCTTAGAAGAGCGCGAACTTCTCACCTACGTAGCCCACGAAGCCATACTGTGTCACAGTGCCTTTACCAAATGGTTACCAGAAGACAATGCTACCGCCCGCATAGTGATAGGCAAGTTCACTCAGGGCGCAAAGGAAGGTGAGAAGCACATGCAGCGACGCTTGGTAACCGACGAAGGCGAATTGAGCTTCCTTATCAAACGTGCTCACGACGCAGGAACAATGGTTTCCTTAGAAAAGTGGAATTACTTCATCGAAGACGAACAGAAAGAACACCAATGGAATGCTTTATGCTACTACCAAGATCATAGACCGCAGTATTACCACCTGCGTGCTAGCATGCTCTCCTACGCGCACATCAATCTCCTAGCAATGCTCTTAAGGTTCGATAAAGAAGATATCCCGCGTGTAGCTACTGACTCTTTGTACGTGAAACCTGAGGTGTTAGAAAAGATGCAAGAGTTCTACACCGAAGACGAATTAGCGGAGAGCGGGCAATGGCGGGTAAAAGATGAGGAGATTAAGGCATGGAGGGAAAGAGTTACCTACCATGGTGACCACACGAAAGGTAAAGTAGAACCTACAAAGGAACCTTTACCAAGTGTCACAGACCCTATTTCTTACAATCGCTTCTCTTACCTTTACGGAACGGGAGGCAGCGGTAAAACGACGCGGGTATTGCAGCTGTTCCCCAAAGTAAAGGTGTTAACTCCTACCCATCGTTTAGAACGTGAACTATGCAGCCTTGGATACGATGCACAGACTTACCATAGCTTCTTCCGCTGGAATGGCCAAAAATGGGTTCCTGAAGCAATCCACGACATCCCACCAATAATACTTTGGGATGAGATCTGTACTGTGCCGCTGGAAATCTTAAAAGAGTTCGTAGAATTCTTAAAAGGTAAATCCCAGGTGATCTTTGCAGGCGATCCATGCCAGCCTCCTCCAATAGCCGGAGAGATGCCCCACGAATGGCTAAAGGGGTTCGTAGACCATGCGGAGGAAATYAACACAGACTACCGCAGCAAGGATCAAGTAAGAAACCTGAAAGCGGAATT